CTTTTGCAATAAAATTCACCCAGAGCTCCAGGAAGAGTTAGGAATGTAATTTCTCTTCAATAAATCAAGACTAAAATTAAGATGGCCCGATATGTAGCAGCCTGCTCAGGTGTATGGAGAATTTGAAATTTAGTGCCCTGGTAATGGGTAGCAGCAGATTATCTAATTATGGAGAGAAAGAAGAAATATTGCTCTCTGGGGGTAAAAAGCTAAATGCGCTAATCCATTAAACCACCACATTCTCTGCCAAAGCTAGATTAATATTAAAGTTCATGTAATGTCTGATTTTTTTTTAAAGGAAGTGTTAGAGAAAATATAAATGAAAAAGCTATAGTTCACAATGTTTCTAATTTGACTACTTGTCAAATAGTTGTGCATTTTATCTTTTCGTGTGATGAACCTGTAGCTGATTATAAGAGTTCTATTCTTTTCTAACAGTATATGTGCTTAAATTTTATCTTGAAGCTATTCTGAACAGACTTTTAGCAGGGGCGTTATGAATAAGATATGTTTTTACAAGGAGCGGAGGCTATGATGCCCTAGCTGAGGGTGATCTTTCCCATTCACTCTCCTACCTTCCTGCCTTTGTCTCGGTGGGAAACCCATTGTGCATGATAACGACTGTGACTGTTACTCTGGGTAAAGTCTACGCTACGAAGGACTGAAGTTTAACAAGGAGTAAAAACGACAATCCCAAATGCAGTATTCTCTTCTCATCCAAGGTTTTGCTTTCCATGATTTCAGTTTCCTAGGCTCAGTTGTGGTCCAAATATATTAAATGGAAAACCCTGGAAATAAATAACCCGTAAGTTGCATTGCACACCACTCTTGACTAACCTCGTAATGAAATCTTGCCCTGGATGTGAATCATCCCTGTAACCAGTATCTCTATGTAGTGTATGCTACCTGCTCAGCAATAGTCACTTCATTATCATATTACCTGTGTGGCTTCAGCATATTGTTAGTAACTGCTCTATTATCAGTTATCATTGTTAATCTTACTGTGCTTGATTTATGATTAAGCTTTACCAGATGCATGTATGATAGGGCAAAGCAAAATAGACATGGGGTTCTGTAATATCTATGGTTTCAGGCATCAACTGGGAGTCTTAAAGTGGGTTCCCTGTGGATAAGGGGGCCCACCATACCTGGTAAAAATCTTAGCCATGTCAGTTTACTATTGAACTGGCTGGGGATGGATGAATGTTTAACTGGGGTCAGATCCTGGATTGATTCATTCCCGAAGTGATGTCATCTTTTCTACACAGTGTGACACAGCCACTTGGTTGTGTTTACAATCACAGAACTTCATTAAATACTTCATGAGCTCTTGGACGCTTTGTGTATAACTCTGCTTATGGACAGCCTTTTGATATTCCTCCCAGTTCTATTATTTCTGTTTTAAAATTAGTATGTATTGTAATTAATGGATAAACTTTTGACTCCTTGGCTAAAGAATGAGCCTTCCTTATTTGGAATTTTTGTGGCTCCCTATATTTGCTTATGGAATTGGGGTATATACTGTATTTAAATTAGGTAATTGAATCAACTCAGTAACAATATGGGTGACAGGTTATCTTCTAACTCCTAAATCATAGATTCTCATTCATTGAAGCCATGGTCTAACTGAGACGCTGGTCAGCATGTGGATTTCTGCCTTCTCTAGTTCCTCAATTAACGTGAAATAAATTTAGTGTAAAACATCCAGCACAGAGTCCAGAGCACAGCAGTCAACTATATCCAGTTGTTTGTATTTACTTTCAAAGAATGCTGGAGATGGGCAGCTTCCCAAAGAATGCTTCATGTGCTCTGCTTTAGGAATTTGTTTACATGCCACTGAATTGTAAACTCCATAAGGGCAAGTATTAACTGAGCTATCCCCAAGGCCTAGCAGTGTCTGGTACACAGAGGGTGCCAAGTAAACATTTTGGGAGGGACTGTTGATCAGTGTTCCAGGCTTCTGGGAATTACAGAGAAAAAGGACTAGCATGCACACACTCAAATGGCCACACTCTCTTAGATAAAAGTCTCATTGATCATTTAGAAACAAAAGAAAAATAGTGTGGTTTCCTTTTTTCAACAACTTGAAAGATGTGAGGGCCAGCACCATGCTAGGTAATTTTAATACATTTGTACTGCAAATAAAACAGCAGTGAGATCAGTATTCCTGAGCCGTTTTATGTGAGGAATTTCACAGGCAGTGACTTATCCAAGGTCTCATTATTATGTGGTCAGGGTGATGTGTTTGACTCCACTCTTTTTCCAAACTGATTTAGTGAACTATAACCACAGTGTTTACCATTTGAAGTGAACAAGACAGGTTTTTAGTACATCCACGGAACACACATTTATTTTATCTAATGCCTAGAGCAGCTTTTTTTCAGTAAAAGTGGATTTCACAAATTGAAAAGCAGAATTTCACTAGCACACCTGTAAAGTGATTTACAGGTTAAGTTATCTGCAAAACAGGACAATAAAGGAGTGAACTCCCTGAAAACACTTAGACTAGGGTCAGATACAGAGTAAATGTTCAGAGTTAGCTGCAATCACTATTGTCAAAAGGAAATTACCAGGTCACTGTAATTCTATTCTGAGTATTTCAGGATCCTAAAGTTGGCTTCTACATTATGAAAATTACACTGTGGCCATTGAAAAGTTATTTTATTCTATCCCAGTTCTTTGTAAATATATGATTCATATGTCAACAACTTAAGATCTTTTACCATTTTGCATTCAGAGATCTTTTTTTTCTTTTCTGAGACAGGATCTCACTATGTAGTCACTATGTACTCCAGGCTGGCCTCAAATTGGCAGCAATCCTCCTGCCTCAGCCTCCCTAGTGCTAGGATCACAGATGTGGTCCACCATGCCTGGTAGCAGAAGGTGTTTTCTGATGTAAGCATCACTGTTTCCAGAGACAGCTGCCTACCTAGTTCCCCTTTTTTCCTTCTTTCCCATTGCCAAGCACAGCCTTTATTTGGGTGGCACTGTGCCTACTGAAGAATGACATTTCTGGCCTCCCTCCTAGTGGGCTTGGCCCAAGAGCACATTCCAGGAAAGCTCCTTCAGGTGGCCCACCTCTCATCTTTCTCTGGACCTTAATCAGAATTAGTATCTGGTGCTCTGGCATTGACACAGAATGTAAGTTTAACCTAAGAATGGAAACCATGTGTTCAATACGGAGCAGAGACAGGACTTAACAAATGTGGACTGCCTAATCTCCCATTTTTTGGGTTTTTTCCCCATTAACTAAATACAACCCACTTTGGTGCTATATTTGGTCTTCTGCTTCATATAGCTGCATCTAATTGTACTTTTTACTTATGTTGTTCTTGGTCAACTCAAAATGAGGCTAGAATAGTATATATTTTCAACACACACATGTTGAGCACCTACTGTGGAGTGCCAGGCCTTGGTTTGAGGGCTGGATATGCAAGGGAACAGACAGTCTCTGCTTTTGGGAAATTAAGTCTGGCAGAAGAGAATAAAAAGCTGTACAATGAGCTCCATGCCAGAATCAGGGGCCCAAGGGGACTGGTTGCTAAGGATACACTCAACTTCCGAGAGGATGGGGCAAAGTTAAATCGAAGAGGTTACTAAAAGAGGGCATTTCAGGAAGAGAAGTGCTGGGACACTAAGAACCCATGATGCATAGTCACAATTCTATGAGGACAGAATTGTTTCATCAGGACACTGAGAACATCAACTAACCCAGTGATGGCGAACCCTTTAGAGCTTTCAATGATAACAGCCCATCAGTTTGCCACCATTGACCTAACCCTTGGCTACAGGAGCCAGGCTCTCATCTCCTGCCATCCCCACATCCGGTAAGATCTGAGCAGTGGGGAGTCTTGGCACACAGTGCTGGGTAGTAACTGTGGAATCTACATTGTGCACTTTGATAAGGAACTGAGTAGCAGATGCACAGATTCTGAGGGTTTAAAATTCACAAAGTTGAAGGGGGAAGAGGGCATTAGCACAAAGGCGATCTCCCTCTTCCCTCAGAAGAGTACAGTGGCTGGGGTGTGAAGGCTGGGTATCAGCCCTACCTGTCCTGCTTCACTCCTCGTGCTGTGCAGGGGGAGAGGGGTTAGGGGAGGGGAAACTGTAGCAGACACCACAGTGCTTGCTGACAGCAGACCCTGCTGATATGGAAGCCGCACTTGCCCCTATCATGCACGTTATAACTCGCAGGATGAACGTAAGCCCCCCAGTTTCTGAACAGGAAAACACAAGTCCACAGTGGCTAATTTAAGGGCCATTTTACAAAATTAAAAATGTTCCCAAGGGCAATGAATCATGAAATTCAATCCTGCAAAAACTGTCTTGGCTATTATAAGATACACACTTGGCCTATTAAATCTCTTGACTCAGTAACATGGAGGGTAAAAATAGGGTGGGGGAGACTTTATAATCCTCACTTTCTTATAAACAAGCAAAAATAAATTGCCCGGAGAAGAGAATGGAAACTAATCTTTGCTGATAGCTATGGGATATACTTTAGGCTTTTCCACATATATTGCCTCTTAATCCTGTTCATTTATAAAGGTTGTTGATTTTTACAGATCAACAAAAAAAGGCTGCTTCACTTAAAATCAATAATGGCTGTTAAGTGACGAAAACAGAACTCAACCAAAGTGCTGTATAATTCCTAAGTATCAGCTCTTTCTACGGGAACTCTGCATACTGCTTAGGCTCAGCACCAGCACCGAAACATTAGACAGCACTAACCAGTACCGGGTCCAAAGACTCTGCTTTTCCTGTTTGGAAAGAGAAGCTCTGTGGCTTTTAGTAACTAACTATTCATTCAACCACTAAAAGCTACAAAATATGTAGATCTGTTAATAAAGTATCTTTGTTTTTCACAATCTGCTTTAGCAGCTCTGCCAAAACGGCTTTCAGTTTATAATAGGTTCAAAATTAGTGGGACAGTGGGAATTCCCATCTCCTTTAGCCACTGCATATTCCAATACACTCAACAACAAAAAAGAATCATTAACTCAAGAGGAATGTACTTTATTGCCCTCCCCTCCATAGGAAGTCAGCAGTTAGTTTCATCCCGATGGATACGGAATACAGGAAAGAAACAAACAAAAAAGTTTTGTCTTTTTTTTTTAAATAAACCACACTTACTAGCTCACATAAACATCTGAAAACAAATACAGCTGTCTTCCTTTCTGTATCACTGGCATAATTTATCAGTTTTTAATAAACTACTGTAAATATCTGTGAGAGGAAAATAAATTTTAAAATATGAAAAAAGTTAAATAGCCAAATGAGTCAACCATTCACAGGATGACCTAAATTTATTTTAGGATTAAGCCACTGATTTGCAACCTTTATTAAAATAAATTCACCTGTAAAAACAAGGTAGTTTATAGCCTGATCAACTTTTTTTGATAGCAGTCAAGGTTTTACACAAAAAAGTGCAAGACTTCAACTAATGAGCAAATAAGACATTCAGACATTAGTTTACACTTTTAAAAATTCTATCAGCTCCAACAAATACACAATGACTGCATATCAATTTATGTTAGTCCTGTGTAAAGAATACACTTTCCATTTAAATAGTTTTAATCACGCTTCTGTACTGCAGGGCATCGGTAACTTCTAGTGGGAGTTGGAATACAGTCTGTTCTTGATGAAGACAACACTAGACAGATGTTGCCTGATGCCTGGATAGTGCTGAATGTGACAAAACCAGCGAGACACATTGAGATATTTCTCCTTTTCTTGGACTGTCAGATCAACCTAAGTAGAGATTAAAAACACACACACACATAATATAAACATTCCATAAGCACAACTACATTTGATAGAAATTGAAAAAAAAACCCCAACAGTTCTCAAAAGCCAATATATTTGAATAAAAATTTCAGACACTTGGGAGCACTATGTAGTTGTTTAATGCACTTATGTTCAGTTTTAAACTAGATGTGTTTTCCAGGGAATTACCAAGTTTTCCACAAATGCAAAATTTACATTAATCCAGGATTTGCAGATGCAAAGTTTTTCATTTTATTAGAAAAGATGGGCTGGGGATTTAGCTCAGTGGTTCAGCCACCTGCCCCAGAAGCTCAAGGACCTGAGTTCGATCCCCCGTACCAAAAAAAAAAAAGCTTGTCAAAAGAAAAGAAGATGGGAGAAGGGAAGAGAGTAGCTTCCAAAAGACTAGGGTATGGTTCTCTTTCTGTTTTGTTTTGTTTTTTTTTTAGCAAAAAGGGAAAGATTTACTGGCATCTGACATACTAAACAAGGGAGCACCTAAGGGGGAAAAATATGTATGTACACACACACACACACACACACACTCACACACACACACACAGCTCTAAACGGCTGGGCTATATGCTGATGACTGCCATCTTTCTACTGAACTCTGAGGGAAAACCTCAAGAAGACAGTGACCCATTAAGTTTCAAGTGATTATTACTCAGTACAGGAAGGTCTCTTTCTCAGTGACAGACTCAGATGAAGAAGGCTGAGTAAATACCCAGGAACACCTTCTAAATTCTGTTTCCAATAAAGCTGCACTCTTAGTAGACACAGCAATTCACATCATTCGTTATCAAGGTGCAAGAATGCCCAGAGATCTGGTTACAGAGAGAGAAAATCAAGATCGTCGGTGCCTACCATTCTACTGGGCTCAAATTCCAAAGTAGGTGACTCTAAGACTTTTCTCTAAGACAAATTTTTGAACTTTTAGGCATTACCAGCTAAAGAGAAAGCCAGCAGGGAGTGGTTCTTCCTGTTATTAATTCAACATTTAATAGACATTGCAAATTTCTATAATACAAAGGGAAAAAACCAAACCCCAAAACTTAGTCACCCCATGCACGGTTCAAGCCCATCAGTACTTGGCTTGTTTGGAGACACTTGGTGAGCTGGATGCCTTGTGGCTTTTAAGAATCTAACATATGCTTGGGCCGGGGATTTAGCTCAGTGGCTTCGCCACCTGCTGTGCAGGTACAAGACCCGAGTTCGATCCCTGGTACAAAAAAAAAAAAAAAAAGAATCTAACATATACTTGATATACTTGTGCCTGCAGGCAAGCATGCTGCTAAGTTACTGGACTAACAAAAGTGAAGGACAAGTTACTTTAGTCTGCAATATAATATTAACAATAAAAAGATAGACAGTGTTTTCTCAAAAAATGTCTATATTTTTTGCTGGCTCAGTTTATATTGTTAGTGACTTTTACATAAAAATATAAATTCCAGGTTTTAGTAACACACACAGAAGCCCTGCGTACAAGCTTAACAGTAAAATTTAAAAATATATTCATCTTGGCTGAGGGGGGGATAAAATTGTGTAGTTATCAGGAAGATGTTACTATCACTGTGTCACCTACAAATATAATAGTGAGTCTATGACATAGAGACAAACTGACATATTTGTCACAAAGACTGGTCAAGAAGGTCTTTTTTCTTTGGTACTGGAGATCGAACTCGGGTCCTTGTGCTTGTTAAGACAGGCAGCGGAACCACTGAGCTAGATCCCCGGCCCAAGAAGGTCTTTCTTAAATGTAAAAGCTAATTTACTAAGAGAATTCGTGGTTTCACATATTCCTAATTGTTAGGTTTAAAATAAGAGGAGCACCTGACTGTTGCATTTAAATAGGAGGCACTAAGGAATTGTTTATCGAAGTTATTAGTTCGTGTTTCAAAATATTCTGAAAAATACTTTGTAAAAGAGCTAATCTTTTGTTCTTTTTCTAATTCTTAACCACAGTAAATTTCACCAAGGATTTCAAAAGAAAATGAAGGATTTTTTAAATGCTGGAGATTGAACTGACGGCCTTGAGAATTCCAGGCAAGTGCTCTACCTACTGAGCTGTATATACCTCCAATCCCCCAAAATGTAAGATTTTTACAAAGCTTAGAGATAGTGTGTGGGGCTCATTGGCAGAGCGTGTGCCTGGCATGCTCAAGGCCCTGGGTTTAATCCCCAGCACTGTAAAATAAGTAAATAAATAAAAAGTGCAATTAGTAGACAACGAACCTGCAAATCTGGATCTAATGGGAAATAGAGATAAGTTTTCTTATGAAAGATGAATGATTTAGTCAATCCTTAGCACCAAAAAAACCCAAAAACCAAAAAACAAACTTTAGCAAACCTCTTTGCTGACAGTTGAAGCAATTAGATGTAACAATAATTTCTATTCTAACTTGATTTTGTATCAGCTGCTGAAATACATGATTCTAATCTGACTTCAGATAATTTTAGTCCTTTCAGAGCTGTCTCCATTTAGCCATTTTGTGGGACATTATTTTCAGAATAAAGTAAAATACACAGAAGACTAATTATTGTTTGATCTATGCTGAATCTGTACACTCAGATTTTGAACGAGGTAAAAAGGGAAATACATATTTAATATTTATATTTCAGAACAGCATTTGTTAACACAGGACTAGCATATGTTGCTACCGGGCCTATTACTTAAAACACTAATGACAATATACAACACAAAGCGAAATAGTCTCCAACTTAGAAAATTTCACATTTGGACCCTCTAATGTAAGGACTATAAATCAACAAAGTACAAAATATTTTTTTTATTTCAAAAGTTCCTAAAATTTCTAAAATATTCTAATTCACTCTAGCCATTTTTGTCTCTCTCAGTACTGTGGACCAAACTCAGAACCTTGAGCTTTTGAAGCAGGCGAGACGCCACTGAGCTAAATCCTGGGCTCACTCCAGCCATTTTTGTTTTGTTTTGTTACCGGAGATAGAACTCGGGTCCTTGCGCTTGTGGGGCAGGCAGCAGCACCACTGAGCTAAATCCCTGGCCCTACTCGACATTTTTAACTAGAAGATCCACCACGCAATGTTTCTAGTTGATCTACTTTCAGGAATGTAAACTTCATCAACATCCCTTAGAAAAATTTGCCAGAAATACACTGAGCTTTTCTGAAAGGATCAGGTTACCACTTTAACCTCCTTTTATGGCCTAACCTTCTGAATTTAGCCCTTTGAGTCAGAAAATTATGACCGACCTCAATTTGTTACCTCAAGCACTTCTTTTTGTAGACATTTTACATATGAAGTTACTGTAAACAAAAAAAACACCACAGATAGTCCCCACATCAAATCTACCATTTTAAAAAGTATTTTTAATGGAGTCCCTTGGACTATTTAATATTGGTTTTCCATCATCCCTTTCTCGTTGGCTAATACATTTTTTCCTTTCTTACAACAGGAAGAGCAATGTAATTGTTCTAGTTGCCACGTCCTGCTTGTTTCTGGCCTGTGTGCCAGTGTGCCTGTAGTGCTCCCTGGCTTTTCCCCTAAGCATTTCTTTTGGTCTATATTGGTACTCTGTAATTACTTTGAACCTTAAAGCCAAACAGATAATATTCTGAATCACTCATTTTCCATGAAGACATGTGAAAAACACCTTAAGCGACCCCTTTCAGCCCAGTGTGCACAGTGTACAGTGCTGGCTTGCTACCCTTCAACTGGCACCAGGCTGCTTTTGGGGACACTCTTTATGGTTTTCCAGCTATTCCTCTTACTTTTCCTTTCCTTCTAAAAGAACCACACACTCCTGTGGAGCTCCAAACTTGAGAACAAATGTATTTCATCTGATAACAATCATACAGTCAAGCAGCACAGAAAATTACAAAGGGTTTTAATAATCTCAAGTAACAGTCTGTTCACAGGGACTACTATCTACTAGTGAAATCACTCCAAGCAAGCAGTGAGTCACTGATATTACAACCAACAGCTACACTAACAGGCACTGTAACAAAGGAAGCACAACATAACATTTCTCAAAGGAATTAAATTAAGACAGACCAGATCTCAGAATAGCTCAGCCACAACTAGAACTGGGCTCACAATGAAATAAAACACAGTGGGATTACTGAGGGCTTGAAGGTTCCTTGTAATTCTGCTGATTACATTTCAAATATTTAATGTGAACTAAGTGAAAGAAGTTACAAATAAATATACTGCTAAACCAAACAAGGACCCTGATGAATGTGAGCAGATGGTCCATCTAGATGTGGTGTCTCCAAACTGAATGTAATACCTAGCAATCATTTTGTTCCTCACCTGTGTATATTTATTCCTAGCTTAACACGGATGTCATTTCATACCACAATGCAATCCTGTCACTGTACAGGTTTTAGTTTGTCAGGCCTGTTCCTTAAGGTCTTTACATCGGAGTACTTTGCCTCTACTTTGACCAGGGAGAAAGAGATGCTTTGACTCATGGTATGAGCACAGGAATGGTCAGCAGAGTTATCTGGGTATATTCCACTCAGTGTTGTTTTGAAAAAGATAACCATATATTTAATTATAATATCCTAATCACTATAAAGAGGATATACATTTCCCAAAATGGGAAATATAAATATATGGATAGTTAAATATTATTAAGGTAACTAATTTTAACATGCAAGATGGAAGGAAACTCTTCTAACCTGCCTGCCCACAAACTAAATGTCCCCCAGGGCACCTAGACTCATAATTAAACAACTCTACAGCTGGGGCTGGACTGTCCTGTGTTAAGGGATTATGACAGTCTTCACTCTGCTGGCAAAGAAATGCCACACAAACTCCCTCCTTTTAAGAGTATTTCCTATCACAGGACCTGCACAAGCCATTCAAGAGGAAAACATAAATGTACACTTGGTTTGCAAGAGTTGCACTTCATGATCATCTTTTTTAATTAGATAGGAGAAACGCTGTCATTCATAATGACAGCCTGATGCTATAGGAAGACAGACCTTGGGAGTCCTGAGAGACATTCACTGCCTGCTGGTGGTCGCTGTGCATTTCTCCTGATACTGTTTTAAAAAGTTAAGTAATACCCCATGTGCCACAGATAAATACATTTTAAAAAAGCCAACAAGATTGTTGTTGTTTCAGATCCAAACTGTTGGCGAACCCCTCTGTAAGGCAGCCATGATCACAGCAACATAATCTTGCAGGTCAATTATGGACTCCCCCAAGCCGAAACCTGTTGGTCTGCCACCAGGAGAGAAACACTTAAGACACCTTAGCAGCTAATCCTCTTTACCTTGGAGGCTTTTTTTGTTTTGAAATGAGGTAAGCTGTGCCACGTCACCATTCTAAAGTGAAAAAGCTACTAAAATATACTGAACCTAGAATGGAATAAAAAGAGGCTGATGTGATCACTGATTTTCAGCTGCAATTAAACTCTCTTTACATTTATATAAAATTACTTTGATTTAATTGCATTGATGAACATTACTAAAATGGCATTTTCACCGGGGATTTAGCTCAGTGGTTTCGCTGCCTGCTGTGCAGGCGCAAGGACGGGAGTTCGATCCCTGGTAACAACAACAAAAAACCCCAATAAAATGGCATTTTCACTATAGATGTAAAACCATGAGCAGGTACAGAATGTTGTTATGTATTTCTACTCTCGATAGCATGTAGCTGGCCAAGTCATTGTGCTAAGCACTGGGGGCAGGGGTGGGGGCAAAGAGAAATTTGATATGATCCGCCCTGGTCTCCTACTTTTGTTTAATACAAGGCCTATTCCTTCTTGATCCCAGCATAGTGATCAATAGGCCTCTTTTGATAGTCAAGAGTACTGTTTTAGATGAGAATTCATATGACCATTCTATTTATAAGCAGCACTTATAGTTACACTTGGAAGATTTTTAAACTAATGAGAATTCCCTTGGGTAGCCAAGGCTGTTCAAATGTTGCAGATATTTTTCATGATTCTTCATTCTACTTTACTTCCCTCATTAAATGATCAAATTACACTCTAATCAGAAATTAGCACTATATTTCATTTTCTCTAATTCATTGTTTTCATGTAATAAGTCATTTTCTCAATGAAATTAACAGTTCTTTGAAAATATTATTTTATACTTCTTTTATGTCCTTGTCAAGTCTAGCATAATGGGCAAATATAGCAGGCTCTCAATAAATAACTTGAAACTTACAATATGAACAGTTTTATACTAAGTCAAATTAGGCCATTATGATATAATGATATAGATCTTAACACAATCACTTAGGGATGTTTGAGGAATAATTCTTAATTAAAGTCAAGTAACTCCAAATTAAGAGATTATAGTGAGTGGCAGGACTAAGAACACAGTGGTGGTACTTGTGGGATATGGGTTACAGAATGCCCTGTGGATACCAAAATCCAGATGCTTAAGTCTCTTACATAAAATGGAATAGTATTTTCACACAACCTACACACTTCTTCCTGTGTACTTTATCTCTGGATTACTTATAACGCCTAATAATACATGATAGATACCATGTAAAATACTTGTTATACTATACTGTTCAAAGAATAATAGAAGAAAATAATATCCATATGTTCAGTACAGACGCAATCTTCTTTATCAGTTTTTAGCATTTTCAATGTGGATTTGGTTGACCCTGCAGATGTGGGAGCTGCAGATGCGGAGGGCTGAATGTAACTGAATCATGCATTATGATGGTTTCTAACAGCTCACAAAGGCTCCCTCACATACTAAGTCACTTGAGTCAGAATATCTGGTTTGTCTTGGTCCTTTCAAAAGCTGAGCTCTGTGCCTTTGTATAAATTACTTGCCTTTTTGCTTTATTTTTTCATTAAAAAAAAATCACTCAACATTTCTAAGCATTTGTTTCTTTCTCTATAAAAGGAAAATAATAACACTAATCCTATCTCCTTCAGTTATGAGATACAATGAAATAAATGTAAAACTCCTTGAAAAGTATATAGAAGTAAATTTATTGTATGTTTCTGGAGGGCTAACTATAAATGTGCCAAGAGTGTCAGATGGTAGTGCTATGAATATGATCTTTGATTCAAGGGGCTTATCACAGATTTTCAAAGTGGGAAGATAGAAAAAGAAATGGGAAAGAGCTTGTCAGTGTGATTCAGGAAGCTGAGAGGCTTTTACCCAGGAATCAGTGCTGGTGCTGAGACACCTAAAGAAACGTAAGTGAACCCGGGAGGAAGTAAGGGCTAGGACCAGGCTGCAAAAGACAAGAGCAGTGCAAGGACAGAGTAGGAAGAGCCCAGTGGTCAGCAGACAGGGACTACGTTAAGGATAGAACACAATGGCAGAATCAAAGCTAGCACGAGAGGCAGGAGACAGAAGGGTCCTTCATGTGGTGACATTTCACTCTGCAGGGAAGAGGAACTACTGAGTCAGTCGGGGAGGAAAAATCCATGGTCACATGAAAGATTGCTTCAGTGGCACCACTGTCATCTCTGACATTCCCTAACATTAAAATCTTCTTTATCTGGCTCAGAGATGAGACTGGTGGCAGGGGCAATGTCGTCAGGGATCACGGAAAGAGTCACGTGTGAAAGGCATCCAGGAGGTGGAAATCAGGACCAGACCAACTGGGTGGATGAGATGCAGAACACAAAAAATCCATGGGTTTCATTCTTCCACAGGGGAGATACAAATGTTGGGGTGCTGAGGGGTTGAAGAAAGAAGCACAAACTCTGGAGCCAACCTGCTTCTGCCAAGTATTTGAGGGCCCTCAAAGAAGACAGCTGAGCTCCCCACACCTCATCTCATTGGTAACACAGGGTTGACGAGGGCTCATGAGAACAGTGCCTCCTTCCTAGGCCTGTTACAAGGATTAAGTAAGTGACCGTTTATACAGCATGAAGAAGAGTACCAAGAACACAGTGAGTGCATTCTACTTGTTTGAAAAGAAATTTTACACGAGGGACAATTTTTAAAAAGGAGGTAGTAGCTGAAGGAGAGTTAAGAGGACAGATAGATTAGTCTGGAAAAAACCAAGACAATCCCTTGTGGCCAGAAAAAGCAGACAAGTTGAATAAGGATGTGTAAGCAGGACGGCTGGCAGATGAGGGATTCTAACAGACAACCTCCATTCCTAGTCAAAGGGAGGAGGCTCTGAGGCAAGGACTGAAGACAAAAGGGAGGATGAGGGACAGGCCTGGAAAGTGATAAAGGTCTGGAAGTGTCCCAAGGACAAGGAAAGAGCCTACTTGTATGCCAACCCAGCTGTAATTAGACAGTACAACTTTCTCCTGGCAACCATTAATAGTTTTGTGATTTCTCAAACACAGCTCAGTTTGGATACAGAAATGAAGACATTTATTTGGACTTGCCAAATGCTGAGGATTTACGGGGAAAGAGTTGTGACTGCAGGCCAGAGCAAAGGAGCTATAGATGCTCTTGTAGCTGAAATCAGGCAGAAGGAAATCTAAGTTGGGTGGGAAGAGAAGTACTGCACACAGTTTTGGAAAAAGAAGAGACAAATTATACCAGGTAGGATTAGGAATTAAGACATTAAAAGAGGTAGGATATGAGGGTGCATGGAAGATGGGGCACTAGAATTAAGATCCAGAGGTGGAGTGGGATGAAGATGATCATGCCCATAGGGTGGGTGGAGAAATAATTTTGAAAGAAAAGCAGAAGAGAAGGTTGAAAATCAAGTAGGTCAAGAAACTGGAAGCAGCTATGTTACGTGGATACATGGAAGGAATTTTTGCACAAAGCATCTTATCTAAAAATGACTCCTTTCATTTTTATATAAGTTGAAAATGCAAATTTGATTTAAATTCAAGAAAAATAAAAAAAATCATTCTGAACATGACAGGAAAAAAAAGCAAAAACTATTTGAATACTCACTATAAAGCGATGAAGTCCATAGTATAACAGAATATCTGCTAAGGTAAAGTTATATCCCGTAAGGTAGACTTTATCTTCAAGATATGAATTAAGATCCTAGAAAAAAATAAAATATTAATTTAAAAAGCACAAAGCACAATACCATATAACTAAAAACATTTAGAAGACAAGAAAGAAAATACAACACTAACATTTAACTTAATAAAGTTAATCTTTGAGATTAATAGAAAAAGTTTCACTTAAAATCACAACTTGCATGCCAATCATGTCATTAAAAAAAAAAAAAAAAAAAACCCAGAACAGGCTGGGTACAGTGGCTATGCCTGTAATCCTAGCAGGTTTAGGCAGGTTGAGGCAGGAGGATCATAAGTTCAAGCCCAGCCCAGGGAACTTAGCAAGCTTCTATCTCAAAATAAAAGGGCGAAGGATGCAGCTCAGAGCAAAGGCCTTTCATTCAATCCCTAGTACCACAGAAACAAAACAAAATCAGAGTAAATATTATTACTTACATTTTAAAGCAATAAAGAAACATTAGAAAATGATATTCAAAATGCCATCCACAATCATTTCAAAGAGTTCAGTTTATAACATTGCATACATCATGTTCATGTTAGATTTTTTTCCGTTAAAATATAGAAGACTTGTTAACTATTTCTATTCAAAGAATTCTAAGCTATTGGTTTTTGCAATTTTTGTATGTACTTTGAAGAACTTAATTGGGTACAAAACACGTGACATTAAATCTACCACCTTAATCATTTTTTAAGTATATAGTTTAGTAAGAATTAAGGATATTTGGGCTGGGGATTTAGCTCAGTGGTTCCTGTGCCTACCTTGGAAGTGCAAGGTCTCGAGTTTGATCCCCGGTACCAAAAAAAAGAGTTAAGGATATTCACCTTGTTGTACAAACAATCTTCAGAACATTTTTATCTTGCAAAGCTAAAACTCTATGGCCATTAAGCAACAATTCTCCATTTCTCCTTCACTTAGGGACTGGCAATCACTATTCTACTGTTTCTATGAATTTGATTACTCTAGATACCTAAGTGGAATCATAGAGTATTTGTACTTGTGATTGGCTTGCTTCACTTAGTATACGCCAGAGTTCATCTGTGTTGTAACATGTCATAGTTTCCTCCCTTTTAAAATCTAAATTATGTCACACTATATGTATACACTATATTTTGTTTATCCATTAATTTGTCAGTAGACACATGGGCTGTCCCCAGACCCTGGCTGTTGTGAATAATGTCTAAGTATCTCTTCCAGGACATGCTTTGAGTTCTTCTGGGTGTACACCAACAAGTGGAGTTGTTGGGTCACATGGTGACTCTATCAATGTCTTGGGGAAGTGCACCCTTATTTTCACAGCAGTTGTATCAGTTTATATTGCTGCCAATGGTGCACTATGATTAACAAAGGGTTGTTATTATTTGGTTTTGGGCGGTAGCCATCCCAATGAATTTGAGGTGATATCTCATGGAGAGTTTGACTTGCATTTCCCTAATGATTAGTAATTTCAGGAAGCATTTTTCATAAGCTTGTCAGCAATTTGTATACCTTCTTTGAAAAAATATTTACTCAAGTCTTTTGCTCATTTAAAAATCAGATCATTAGTTTTTTGTTGAGTTGTAGAATTTTAAAATCTGAATATTCACACCTTATCAGATATGACTTGCAAATATTTTGTTTCATTTCATGAGTAGCTTTTTTAGTCTGCTTATTTCATTGACTGATTGACCGTGGTGCTAAAGATTGGCCCTAGAGCTTGCAGATGCTAGGCAAGCAAACAACACTGAGCTATACCCTAGTGCAGCTGTGTCATTTGACGTATGGAAATTTTAAATTTTTACATAGCATAATACATCTATTTTTATTTTTGTCATCTGTGCTTTTAACATCAAATGAAGAAATCACTGCTAATTCAAATGACACAAAGATTTCTAACAATTTTATAGTTTTTGATCTTATATCTAGGTTTTTGATCCCTTGAGTTAATTTTTATATATAGTGTCAGGTAAAGGACCAACTTCATTCATTTGCATGTGGATATCCAATTTTCACAATTCCTCCAAGGCTCCAGTTTTTTTTTTTCCTTTTGGTACCGGGGATCGAACTCGGGTCCTTGCGCTTACGCAGCAGGCGGCAAAACCATTGAGCTAATTCCCCGGCCCCCAAGGCTCCAGTTTTAAATATCATCTAAAGGCATAGAAAGTTTTTGTTATTAGATGTCTACACAATGGCCACCAATTTTTAAATTATTTTAATATATATGAAAAAATTTGTTTTAAATTACCAAAATATTCCAAAAAACAAATAAAACCCCCCAAAACAAAATCACCAACCCACTCCAAACAGCCAACTAGCTCTCTACATAGCTAATAGGCTCATTTGAAAGAAAAAAGAAGCATGTGTTAAAAAATAAAATTCTGAAAATGTCTTATCTTAAACTAGAAGTATTACCTGGCAGACCAGTATAAATAGTTTCCTTAGAGGGAAAAATATATACTGTATTGTATGAATATATTTGGCATCTCTCAAAATTAATAATTTTTATTAAATTACATTCAATTTAAAAGAGACAACAGAGTCTTATACCCTTAAAGGCAGGTTTTATAAATAACTTACATGAACTATTATTAGGTATTCTCAGAGGCTGCTCAAAAGACTATTCTGGAAGTCCAAGATCAAGGTTCTGGAAGATGCAATGCCTGTGGGTTCATTTCCTGTTTCCTGCTTCCTGGTTCACAAGGGCTGTCTTTTCACAGGGCAGGAGGAGTGAGGGGTACTAGGCCTCTGATAGAAGGGTCCTAGTCCTGTTCATGAGTGCTCCACCCTCTGGACCTGATCCCCTACCAAAACCATGACTTTGAGAGTTAGGATTTCAATATACAAATTTAGGGGGAACCTAAACATTTATACCCCAAGACATCCCAAAGAGCCTGGTACATAGTGGATCAGTAATCAGTATTTGCTAAACTAAATTTAATCTTTTTGAGTTTATACACATTTGCATTTAAAGACAGTAATTTTCAAAATGGTTCATGAATATGGACTTCTGGGGATGGTACAGATGAGGACACCAAGGAGTGTGGACACGAATAAGGAGATAGCTATGAAAGAAAAAAATAGTAGAGGTAGAATACGCTCGCACATGGGTATGCGAGGGCTACCTCCACGGTAATCTGTTGAATAGAAATGGTTTCCTCCAAATAACTTCAAAGAATCAATAATAAGAAGTAAGTATGTCTTCATTTAAATTTAAGAATGTAGGGCTGGGGGATTTAGCTCAGTGTTTCCATCGCCTGCCTTGCAAGCGCAAGGTCCAGAGTTCAATCCTGGATACCAAAAAAAAAAAAAAAAAAGAGAATGTAAAGCTCTGAAACACTTTCATACAGCATATTTCTTCTAAAAATAAAAACCATATCCATGTTTCATTTACAAAACCTCTTAACAATGTAGTTTTTGTTTTTTTTTGTTTTTTTGCAGTACTGGGGATTGAACTCAGGACCTTGTGCTTGCAAGGCAGGAGCAACACCACTGAGCTAAATCCCAGCCCTAACGATGTAGTTTTTGTAAACGATGATTACTATTTTTCTGATTAGTGATTTACAAAATATTCTCCTTCTGCAAAAGATGGGACAGAACTTATTTTGATGTTCCTTTCCTTCTTTGAGACAGAGCCCAGGCTGCTCTCAAATTTGGCCGTCTTCCCACTTTAGCTTCCCAAGTAGCTGGAATTACAGGCCTGTGCACTACACCTGGCTCCTTTGTTTTTTAAACAAATCTTTCTGAAGCTATTGCCAAATCCGTTGAAACATTTCTTCCTATCTTCCCAATTCTTAGTAAATATTTAGTAAAACAGAAAAATTGAAAAAGCAGTACAATAAATAATTATATACCTTCCACCTACACTCAATAAATGTTAGTTTTGTAATGCCTTTTTTGAAATTACACACTGCCTTACTTATGAGGAACCCAATCTTAGAATTGTGGCTTTTACAGCAGGGTAGAATTTTGGCAAATGAGAATTAAGCTCCTTCTTAAATACCCTAAGAGCAAGAGATTTAAAAATAAATAATGAAAAGATATATGGCCCAACATAAACATGAACAAAGGATACATACAAGTAAATTTTAAAATAATAAAAATGGCTTATAAACATTATAAAAAAATGCCGTACCAATAATACTTTTATGAGAAAGAAGTAAAAACAAAGAAATGGTATCTTAGTTTGCTTGCATTGGTGCTGAAATTGACGCCAGTGAAAGAGAAAGTGGTAATACCTGAGTTAGTACTGGGGAGGAGGCCATCTCCTACACTGATACACAGTAATAATACACTTTTCTGAAGGACAAAGGAAGGGGATGGCTTTGGGCCTACCAATTTCCCTTGTGGGAATTTAGCCTCAGGAAACAAATGGGAATGTTACATAATAGATGACTGTGCCCAGAAGATGCCCATCTTTTAAATACATGCACGTATGTATAAAAAGAAAACACAAATGGAAACAATACAAAGGGGGCTTAATAATTTGATGACTAAACTGGTGCGAGAATAGATGTTTAAAATGTTTTTTATTTGCTTATTTGTATTTCTTAACTTTCAGTAATTAATACCGACTGCCTTTAAAATACACAATGCTGTCTTGAAATAGCACCATAGCAAAAAAAACCAACCCTTTCCTCTTCTGTGCTCATACAGCCAAAAATCACTGGCAGTCCATTCTCGGCATGTCGCCCCCACTAGTCTGAACTCTGTAGAGACAGAAATTGGGTCTAAGGCCTCGTCAGCTCTTGGGACTGTACCTGGCACAGCACACACGGGCTTATGTCACTGGTACAAATGAGCCAACAGGGCAGGTCAAGGAAGACACCCCAAAACTCATAGTGCCACACAAATTATGGAGGATGGCAGGATCCCCAGAAGTGATCAATTTTGATACTGAGAATAAATGGTTGATCATGAGAGACCTCTTAAGAAATGGTGCATGAAAATGCTTCCTGCCAGTTCTCTTGATAGCTTCTAGTATTAAGAACGTAGTTTAAATAATTTCCTTCCAAAATAAGGAAAAACATTCTTGCTCAATTTATATTATTGTTTATATTATATTATTAGGTAATAATGGAAACAAAATAAATTTATATTATTTATGTTATTATATAACAATGGAAACAAAATCAGGAAATATTATGTGGTCAAATAGATGGTCTCTAGGATTCCTTCATATTTTATGCTTTTATAATTTTTTTCAAAGTCTGCTTTATTTATATAATGAACAAAACAATTTCAATTTGGGATGCTTTTTGTCCTTGATGTCTCTGGAGCCAACTATTTGGGTTATATTTTACATAAACAGGCTCTTTTACTCTAACTTGCTACTTTTGGAACAAAAATACAAATCTTAAGATCCTCAAGAGAAGAAAAGTCAGGATTTCTCAGATTAATCTGGTTTAAATTACAACCTTCAAAGACTGATTTTTCCTGCCTCTGAGAAAACATTTTCTCCTCTATCTAGAGAATCACAATTGCTAAGTGGGAAGAGACAGCCATGTATCACATTTAAAAGAACATGTAAAACTATAATTACGTCAAGTATTATGAAGGAGAAGCAGAGGGTGCTGCATGTGGCCGAGGGGACACAGTGCAGGAAGCATGGGAGGCAGAGGTGTCTGGGCTGAGATCTGAGGGGAAGGAAGACAGAAGGGTCCAGCCTGCCCCAGGCAGAGGTAATAAACGCCAGGTACAAACTGCCTTGAGGCAGAAGGGAAGAGGGAGAGAGGCCAAAAGTTGGAAGGCACAGGCAGAGTCCCACTTAGTGGTTCCCAACCCAGAGCAGAAAGAAAAGTCACGGTACCTTCAACAGAGCATGGCTATTTTCTTTATTGGAGTGTCTGTCTACTTGAGTGACTCGGTATTCTAACCACTGCTGGACCATTGCTTTTTCTTCTGCAGTGTTTCCCAACAAATGTTCCTTGTTGGCTTGCTTGACTAGATGAGTTGCTATTGTTGTCAATCCTGTTAGACTTGGGCCACTGTTTGTCTGAAGAACTGGAATCTTTAAAAGAAAAGAAAAAAACCTCTTCAGATAAATGTAAAAAACAAAGACCAATGTGCCTGTAACTTCTAAGTAATCACAAAATTGTTCAACTGTTTTTTTAATCCAACTATTCTAGGATTTTACTCTAAGATATTAAGTTACAGACAAGTAAAGCAAATAGTAGTTATGGGCTGGGGATTTAGCTCAGTGGTTTTGCTGCCTGCTGTGCAAGCGCAAGGACCCCAGTTCGATCTCCGGTATCAAAAAAAAAAAAAGAATAAAAAAGCAGTTAATAACACTGCAAAAAATGGTAATGTGAGAAAATGGAAATTCTAATAAATTTCAATCAAGATTACTTATGCCTTCAAATCATGCAGCAGCAGTACTAAAATCTAAACTCTTAGTGGCTTATGGCTTAGTACAATCCAGGTGTACTTCTTACTTATGCAAAGGTCTGGGGGGATTGTTGGAGTGGTAACCCAGCAATCACAGCTTCATCCTCCTTTTGGCAAGTGTTTCTATAATCATCACAGCAGGGGACTACCGCAGTCCTGTGCACCAGCAATCAAGTGTTTTCATCTGGTAGTGTTTGTCACTTCACATAACCCATCGGTTAGAAATAATCAGATGCTCCGGTGCTGGCAGCCATGCCACCACAGAAATGTAAGGAGTCATATCGCAGGAACGTGTAACCCTTTCATGTGCTGAGGAGAGAAACTGACACATGCTTAGAAAGCTCCAGCACACTGTCACTGATTTTTTTACTCTAAAGAAAATTATTGTAAAACTAAATTATCCCCAACCACACTATGTTAACTCAAAAAAATTTGTTACTTTCTCATTTAATCATTACAGCTTCTAAGATAGGAAAAGTCTCACTTTCATTTTAAATCTTCTAAAATAAAGTATTATCTTCATTTTACATCTTTTTGTAAGGCAAGTAATCTTATTTTCATTTTATTTTATTTATTTATTTAGGTACCAGGGATCGAACTTGGGTCCTTGTGCTTGTGCAGCAGGCGGCGAAACCACTGAGCTAAATCCTAGGCCCCTCTTATCTTCATTTTAAAGAACCAAGCCCACCATGTTTGTGATGGCAGAGTAAGAGTTTGAATAAAGTACTATTGGCCTGAAAGTCCACCCTCTTTTCTTTATACAGCCTAAAGGACATAAATATCAAGTGATTAGTTATAGTACACATACTATTTTCACATCAATTTTTGGGTCCCATGGTCTTCGAAGTAGTTACTTTTAATGGCTGCCTAAGTAATATTCAAATGTGATGTACTGTAATTTAATGGATTTTTGTCTTTGAGCTGGATTGCTAGACTGCTCTGAATTTTTATTAATGGCAATGTGACAGAGAATGCCTTATTGCTGGCTTACTGTTATCACTTGTCTACCCAGAAAAGGGCTAAATTTTATTCGTACACAATCCTTTTTCCCATACATACAAACAAACTTTAATAGTTGCCCATCACTAAAATATTCTAATTAAAAACCGAAGAAACCCCACACTCTGAACTCCAAAGCCCTCACAGTAGGGCCTCACACTGTAATTTTGGGTTTACCTTGAATCATACCACTCTTAATACTGATTTACTTATTGCCCCGAACTTTAATAATTTATTGATTTTACACATCTCTCAAAGCCTAATCCCTTAAACACCAGCTCCTTCATGAAGAACATAAACCCGTTATTTTTTTAATCTGGTTTTAACATCCTCTTCTACACTTCTCACTGATGCACTCTTCCATTAAGTACACAATTTCTTGTGTTTTAACGAATCGCATTGACTGTTTTCCATACTAGCCAATAAGCTCTCTGAAGGCAAGACTCAGGTCACCGCGATGTTTCCTATAAAACATACGGCAAACGAGGTAGAAGCGGCTGAGAAGGAACAGTATGGGGATTGAGGAAAAAGCAGCAGCAGACCACTTTGGAGCCATTGTCTACTCTACCAATCACCGGATCTTAGCCAAGTCGCTAAATCTTCCAGGCCTCAGGTTAACTTAGGTGTAAAAGCTACACTAGTGCTACTGTCGAGATATGATTTGTTTTTATGTTTTTGAGACAGGGTCTCACTACGCAGTGGTTCAGGCTGGGCTTAAACTCACTATGCAGCCCAGGCTGGCCTCGAACTTGGCAACGATTCTCCTGCCTCACCTCCTGAGTACTGGGATTATAGACGTGTGCCACCACGCATGGCTGAGAAATTTTTTTTAGCCAGTGTCAAACAAAGGAAAAGTTAAGGCAAAAACCTACATCATCTGGGAAAAAACTTCAAAGCAGCAAAAAATGTATAAATCCAAAGTAGTCTCTTCTACTCTAACCCATTCTCTCCACGGCAAGCAACGATCTTTACTGTCCTCCAATGCCCTGGGAAACCGGGGCCATACATACACCTCACCAGTCGGTCTCACACCTGGTAACTTTCCCTTTCTCAGCCTCCTCGAGTCCTTCAGGTTGCGCCAAGACCCCAATGGCGTTCTCTCAGCCATCCACGCTTCAAAGTAGCACTTTTTACTACTGTGCATTAAAACACAGCTGTGTTTGTCCACCCAGCCAAAAAGCAAGCATCCCGAGGTGGGGTGACCCCGCGTTAGCTCCCGGAAACCGGCTGCGAGAACTGAATGAAAGGAGCGACTGCGTCCCATGCAGTCGCCGAACGCAAGCGCGGGCTCTCCAGGCTTCTCTGAGGGCCGAGTGCCCTGCACAATGGCTTCGTTGGCCCTGCGTGGGATGCTGACAACCTTGCCGGCGGTGAAGTTCAGGCTAAGCCCGAGGGGCACCAGCAGCCGCCGCCGGACACGTGGGGGGCCGGGAAGCCGCCTCCTCCCGCCCGCCGGCCGCTTCTCCCGCGCTGGGCCGAAGTCTCTCCTTCTCTCCCTCCGCGCCGCCCCTGCTTTTCTTACCTGTCGCTCGCCCTGAGCGCTGTACTTATTTCCCTTACTCAGCCCTAGGGACTTCTCTAGCAGCTTCAGCTCCGCGGCCGCCGCCATCTTCCGGCCCCAGCGCCTGACAGGGGGCGGGACCCGCACTGCAAAGACCTCCGCCACAGGCAGAGGCGGAAGTCCCACCCCCTCCAACGTCACCAGCGATTGGCCGAGCGGAGAAATGCATGGAGGGTGCGCCTGCGCGCAGAAGGTGGGGCCAACGAAAGGGGCGGGACCCAGGAAGGGCTCCGCGACCAGTGGAGGAGAGTGGGTAGCGAATTTCCAGTTTTGACCTGTTGGGGACGTGCTGGCCTAACGAGCATCGAAGCGGGGCTTCGGTTGCTGCAGTCATCTGGCTCTGCCAGCTTCTAAAGGGCAGACTATTGGCCTGGCTGCCTGAGTTAACTCATTAACTCATTTGGCAGGCTGAGGCTTTAATGATAAGAGCCGACGTTTACCTTTGTTTGGCTCAGAAATCTCCGAATTTGAACAGATTGAATGGTAAAGAGTTCACAGTCCATCAGGAGTTTCTAACATAACAGTGTAACTCCTGAGGATTTAAACAGTGTTGTAATGGCGAACTGGAAAACCCAACCCTTAATTTAATCACATCTGCAGAGCCTTCTTCCTTATAAGATCACATCAATAGATGCCCAGGAGGTTTCTGATGGAAAGGACTGCGTTGATTGTTGGACTCCAGCCCATGCGTGTTACGCTTTGGCAGAAAATTTGTCTGTACTTTGCTCATTTCCAGAGACTTGGCCTGAGACTGATAATAAAGGCGGCAGATTAATTAATCTGGCAGAAGAAATTTCAAGGCAGCCTAATGTTGAGACAGCGGCACGGCTACTGCATAAATGAAAAAATCATGAATAAAATATTAGCAAACAGAATCCAATAATACATTTAAGCGAATAAAACATTATGACTAGATGGAATTTATTCCCAGAATGCAAAGGAGTCTGATGTTAGGAAATCTGTTGTGAAATTGAAGCAGCTATCACTGTACAGTTGAGCCTGTTGTCTCACAGAGTTGAAGAAGGAAATTAGAGAAAAAGGAGAAATTAGAAGAAAGTTTATTGAAAGTAAGAAGAAAAATAGCTCCCAATGGGGATCTACCAGGAGTCGAAAAGTGTAGCTCCGGTGTGCTTTGTCATGACTTTGTTAGGGATGAGCAGAGCCTGGGAACTTGTTTAGTATCCAGCGATCACCTAGCACACGTGCATCTGTGGATTTAGAATAATTAATTGAGGTTTAGGCTTTGTAATGTAGAGTTTTTAAAAAATCAACTACTCAGCTGGTTTCAATGGAAACTGAGTTCAAAGGAAAGTGGTTACTCTGAATTTTATGTTCCTCCAAGTCCAGCAGAAACAGGGAGGCATTGTTACCTAACTTCGTGTATGCTAAAAAGTTTTTTCCCTTAGAGTTAGGGTTCTTATATTAACTCTACCCTTTCCCCTATGTTTTTATATTTTTTAAGCTTAACTGGTTGTACGGCTTGAATTAGTTCTTAGCTATTTTCTTTGTAGTGTGGGACTGTGTGATTCAAAAGTTAATTACTCCCCTAGGTTCTGTTGTAAATTTGATGGTTGGAGTGTGTTTGCCTCGGGACAATGGACAATCAGTAATAGGGCGAGATTGCTCAGCCATCTGTTTGCCCTAAATCCAAATGTCCCAGGGCCCAGTATCTATAGGACAATCTGTAAACAGGGTGGTCCTAACTGTTAGTCAGGATGTCTGCTGACCATCAGCATGTGACAGTGAGCCACTAACCTTTGTTCTTTTTTTTCTGTGAATCCACATGTTAAACTCCCCCCCCTTAACCCCCTATAAAACAACCTCGGACTCTGAGCCAGGTGCCTCTCTAAGCTATTTTGCTTTGGGAGTGCCGTCTGGCCAGACTAATAAAGGTTTGTTTCCCAACTTGGCTGGTGTGTTCCTTCCCGGGTGGTCTTCGATGTAGCCAGCTCCTTGGAGCGTTTGGTAAGGCTCTTGGTCTTACGTTCTGAAGACACCGCTGGGATTCCTGGGTGTGCTCCACTTCAGTTCCTTGGAGCATTTGGTAAGGCCCTTGGCCTTGCATTCTGGAGGCACCGCTGGGATCCCTGGGTGTGCTTCACTATAGTCAGCTCCTCAGAGCATTTGGGTAAGGCCCTCGGTCTTACAGTAGCCAGCCAACTCTAGTTTAGGCTCTGTCCCTTACTTGCTGCCTACTTATAAGCCAACTAGCTAAACTGGCCTTTACTTTATGATCATATTAATGAAGCTAAGGAGAAAAATCTTATAATCATTTCTAAAGGCTCAGGAAAGTCATTTGACATCATTTAATACTCATTCATGTTTAGAACACTCAATAAAAAAGTAAAGGCACTAGCTAATTTTCTATTTAAGGAGAACTTTTTAGAGGTTTTCTTGTTAAACTAAGTTCCTTATTGTATGTATTACATTGTGCTAGAGATTTTAGTCAACGTATTCAGATCAGAGAAAGTAATTAGAAGCATGTGAATTGAAACAAGAGGACAAAGTAGCTCAATTTACAGATAACATAAATTTATATTTTGAAAATTCAAGATAATCAGTAGAAAAATTATAAACAAGAGTTTAGAAGAGTAGTAAAGTAGAATATCAATATTCAAAAATCAATAGAAGTTATAAAAAGACTCCACTTATATTAATATCAAATATGTAAAATCTATATGTAAATTTAATAAATATTAAGTTGTTATGCACATAATGGTATAAAAACACAAGGTTGCAAAAGTAAAATTAAAAAGTAGACATATGAATGCCGATCTACATATTAAGTAATTTACACATCAGCAAATTCTGGTAAAAACAAAACAGACAGTGTTGTTTTTTTAAATTCTTGAGCTGGATGAATCCCTTCTCGGCCTTTTGGCTAAGATCAAGTGTGAGCTGGATGCAGAAAAAAAAGATCACTTGAAAGAACAGATAAGCAAGAAAAGCCAGAAAAATTCTGCAGATGAAACAGAGAAATGGAGGGAAGGGCTGAAAGAGCCTTCCAGATATCAAAACATTATTATAAACCTTCTCTAATTAAAACTGAGTGGAATTGGCACTTGATTAGATGGGCTAATAAACAGAACAGAAAATTCAGACATGGACCCAGTTAGATTTGTTAGTGTGCAATCAAGGTCATATGCAATCATTCGTCCCCCCACTGCCTTTTTCTTTTTCTTCTGCGGTACAAGGGATAGAATGCAGGGCCTTGTGCATGCTGGGCAAGTACTGTACCACTGAGATACTTCTCCAGCCCTAAGATAGACTTTTATTTTTTGGTACTGGGAATCGAACTCGGGTCCTTGCACTTGTGAGGCAGGCGGCAGAACCACTGAGCTAAATCCCTGGCCCAAGATGGACTTTTTAATAAATGGGGTGCAGTAGCCTCTACCACATACAAAATAAAACAAAATTGTAAATGTATTAAAGATTCCCCTGTGAAAAATTAGAGCTTAAAAGTATCAGGTGAAAACATGAGTCAATTTCTGGAAGTAGAGAAAACTCCTAATCATTTCTCCAAATCCAAATGCAATGAGGGAGGTGATTGATACATTTGCCTACATAAAAATAAAGTTTTATTTCATTTTTTGGCAGTACTAGGGATTGAACCCAGGGCGTTTTCACTGACCTACTTGCCCAGCCCTTTAAATATTTTCTTTTTATTTTGAGACACGAATGTATTAAATTCTCCAGGTGGGATTTGAACTTTTAGTCTTCCTGGCTCAGCCTCCAAAAGTGCTGGAATTACAGAAGTGCACCACCGTGTCTGCCTGTAAGGAAGCTTTTGAATGGCACAAAAAATAAAAAAGTCACATGCAAAAATTGGAGATTGGCCAGTTCCAGCCCTTGGTAGGAAATGTATGAGATAGGGCTGGATCACCTTGTGAGAGGAGAAAGTGAAGGAGTGATGTAGGAGTAACGAGGGGGATCACAATAGTATAAGGTCATTTAAGGTCAATAAGAATAATTAAAATGGGTAGAGACACTTTACGTTTAAACCTATGTGTGTATGATAATATTGAAAAACAAAACAAGAATAAAATTGAAACAGTCCTCTTTGGTCACCTCTGGAAGATGCTAGCAATCTAATTCTTTATTTTGAAAAATGATAGAATAATGAAAGAAAACATTTTTCCTTGATTATGTTGTACAAACTATATCTTAGGGGAGCCAAATCCTGATGGACAGTTTCTCTTCATAGAAGTATCATAGCTAATATATAAGACAGAGCAATAGAATATCATTGTTTTGTATCATCCAATGAAATAAATGGATCTAGGCAATGATTGTCAGTAGCTCTTCATATAATAAAAATTCAGATGTAATGTGGTTCTAAGAGAAGTACCCATCATTATCCATAGTCTTGCCAATTGAATATGAATTTGATCAAGACTTTTGATCTAACAACAGATTTATAGCACATAATAGTAGGAAGGAAGAATGTTAAATGATCCCATAGAGATGCAATCAGCACATTTAGACCATGAAAAACTCCATAGGACAAATGATCCGATTGTTTCAACAGATAAATTGTAAAGAAAAAAGAAAAAACAGATGGTAATTATTTCATAACTGTCAAATGTAGAGTTATCATGGGCATAACCAATTGAAATGGATGATTCTTTCCAAGGCTGATTCTAACAAATAAACTGTTAAATAAAAAATTGATAGCAACACCAATACATATCATCACTATAACAAAATACTTGAGGTAATTAACTTATGAAGACAAAAAGCTTGTTTTGGCTCAGGGTTTTGGAAGTTTCAGTCCATGATTGAGTGACTTTTTTTGCTTTGAGCGTCTGGTGAGACAGCAAACTGTGACAGGAAGACATGGCAGAGCAAACCACTCACCTCACTGACCGAGAAACAAAAGCAACAGGGAGAGTTCCCACAACCCCTTCAGAAGCACACCCCCAAGTAACTTCTTCCTGCTAGGGCCCACATGTCTGAAAGGTTCTACACCTCCTAAGAGCTCCACTGTGGGAACCAAACCCTCACCATATGGGCCTTTTGGGACATTTAACATCCAAACTATAGCCCCACAACTATGCAAATATCTAATATACTCCATCTTGTATAATGGTGATATTAAATTATTTGCCAAAATCCACATAGTCATAGTCTATTGACCTGTACAT